GAGCATAAGCAGTGCTTCTGTGGAACAACAGACACACAGTGGCTGCAGTTAGGTCCCGTCCCTCTGGAGCACATTGTGAGCTGAAAGCCACTCATAGGAATACAATCAAATTAAACTCATCAGAAGAAAGATTTGGAAAGGGGCATTACAAGCAATGTTGTTCAATACAAAATCTGAATGAACAGCACAGTTGCCAGACAATCAAAAGTAAATACCATGGCTATTAATCACATCGTTGCCTGCTCCCAAACAGCACTACTGTGCTCACCACTTCTATACACAAACAAAAGCAGGCAAACTTCCAAACGTGACCAAAGCCAGATAAAAGGCAGGAGCAGGGAAGCAGGCTAAAGCCTTATTCACCAGGAGTATTACCACAGTACCAACAGCTACTGATTAAAAATACCAATCTGCTAGAATTAACAGTCCCACAGGAATCTGAGATGTGGCTTCCAAAGTGCTGCCCTGCTATCACCGAACTTATCTGTATCTCTGAATTTTGTTTATTAGCTTGACACGTAGCATTATTTTCAGCTAATAAACAAATCCAGTTCCAGCATGCAAGTGTTTTTGGTTTTTGTTTTTTTTTTTTTTTTGCTTTGTTTTGGTAAGGCAACCACAGAGCTTTCAACGACAAAACAGCTACATCTGTAAACAGTTTTAACACTTGTTTTATTACTGTTTGACCATCAGTCTCATCAAGTAGATATTTATGGCATAATTTAAGGAGGAAGTGGATGGGAAACTACTTCATTGTTGCTCACTAGAAAACTCTCCCCTGTCCCATTGATAAAGCTAGAGGCAGGGTACCATCTGTGCTATCTGTGCGTGTAGGAAATAAACAAGCCTACAGGCCCAGCTTCAGCTTCTGAACAGCACATCCTGACTAAACCCACAGTTACTCCGCTTCTATTCCTTACATTGTAGCACTAAAAATGGAAGGAAATCAGGTAGAGAGCTTCAGCTAAAAGAAGTCGTTGTCCTTTTATACAAGTAACAGTAAGAAGGAAGGAATCAAAAGAACCAACTGAAGCCCTACAAATAAGGCTCTTAACACAGACTCAATTGCACGGTCTTCTCCTCGCATAATGTGCTGTAACTCTAGCTGCTCAAACACTGAGCCCACCTCTTCCAACAAGAGTCTGAAGTAAAAAATAACATACAGGGCAGAACGGAATTACATTGCAAATAACAGGGATACATTCAATACCACAGTCAGCATTCTTACCGGAATATGTGGCAAAGTGATTGTTACATCATCTCCTTTACCCACTTGGATCTCGCCTTCACAAGACGTATCAATCGATGCCGGCTTAAAATCATCTAGGGAGGAAAACAATTGTGATTATGACTCTTGGGAATCTTCAGAATTTGGAGCTTTTAGAATTTTCCTCAGCAAAAAGGCACCACACATTCATTGTGGCTACAGGAAATGCTAAAATACACAGTGGCTTGCACCAGGGGTGGAACAGTACACCAGTATAACCTTGTTCATATTCCCAGCTCCTGCCACCTGATGGTAAAAAGATGTAAAATTCTCCTTTAAAAATGGAAGTAAATTACCAGACTGTGTCTGAAAGACCAAAAGCAGGCTTCTCCTGATGTTTGATGTTGCACACAAGTGTAAAACTGTATCAAGCATCCCATAGGAGTATCAGGTCCCAGACCCAGGACTCTATGGCTCCTGCCACCTCCAAACCTGAGGACTCCATCTATATCAAAGGCTAATTGAGTGAGACCAGCTCATTTAACCTCACTGATATTTTTGACTACTAACAGACATCTTGCCTTTGCAACACCCACTTGAGAGGACACCTTAGCCCCCATCTATGGGAAAAAAAAGGTGCTGGTGTTATTTCACCAGGCTCCACACAGGGCCAAAACTGCTGTAGATGGAGAATGGAGAGCATAACTGAGGTCAGACACTGCTGCTGCTCTAAACAAAGCCCCACTTTCAATAATTTCTGCCGCATTGTATGGAATGCTTTCTCCCCCAAGTAATGCGTTTGTGTTTAGTATATTTATTTGAACTAAGAACATTTTAACTTCAAAGTATTTCCCACTCTGTAATTCTGTCATGCTGACGAGCCATGAAAACCTGTAACATTGTGACAGAGGATTTAGACAAAATGAAATAAGATCAGACAGCTAAGTATTTCTTTTAAACAGGCATCCATACGATTCTAGCATCTCTGGATACAAGAGGTGCAGTTACATTTGCAACCAAGACTTTTAATTACTGCATTAGTTAAGACATCAATATCTTAGAAAAACTAAATTTCAATTCCACTATGAAAAGCACATTTGCCAGGGAAAGAAAACAGCTTGTAATAAATTCTCATTAAGGGGACGTTAATGTCTAATTGAGTTTCACTTTGACAGCACAACAAGCAGAATCAGGCACACTTGACTTAATCCTCATGCCTTAACTGCCAGACCAAATCACATCTTTCATATTCATCTGCGCAATCTATTTCTAGCTATTGTTTGCCACCTACTTTATGTGCAAGCTTGCTAAATAAAACAAAACAGCTGTAGATGAGCTGCAGTCTTTGCCAAAAAGGGATCAAAGGTTTCAATGGCACAGTCACTAAATGAAAAAACACAGCACTATGATGCTCCTTTCTTAGGTATAAGTAAAATACGCTTACTCTAAGCAAACACACAACAAATTGCTTTCATTCAGAAAGCTCATTAGGCATGCATGCTCGGCTAGTTTTGCTGTAGATGGAGTGCACGTATGCCTTTTCAGCTGTAAAACCCAATCCTTTTTCCAAAAGTCAAATATTTTTAGATGCATTTCCAAACCCAGTTTTTCAGTACAGGATTTCATAAATGTCACAGAAAACAATAAAGTGTTTTAAGGAGGAAGAGACAAATCCAGCTTGCAAAATCCTCTTACTGCAGTTTGCATGAAGAGGATTACAGGGATGATATAATGCTCAGTTCCCAGACAGATCATCAAGATCAACCATTAGGAAAAAGGAAATCAAAAGAGATCTCACTTGAATGTCATCGACTAAAAATACAGCACATTAAAAGCTCTTCTGAAATAAAAAACACACTCTTTCAGTTGTAGCCTGAAGTGCTTTGGCTCTGCAACCCCTGGAGAACTTGATTATGAAAGCACTTTACATTCTAGAAATACACCGCATTGCTATCTGGATACAGCTTGGGTTTAATTCGCCCACTATCAGACGGCATCCTCATTCCTTTGATGGTCGGGCTATTTTAAATCTTTGATTTATAAATGGGGATTTGCTGGTGCAGCAGAGCTGGCTAGAAGCATTCAGTGCTATATGTAAACAGCTACATACACCAAACGTATGGTACAGCATTCTTCAACATGGTGGAATTATGCATGATCAGAGGGAGGAACCACACAAAATTTAAGCAGGCAGAAGCTTTTGTTTGGGGAAATGGCTTTGCTTCAAGCGCTGATCATCTTCTTGAGGAACAGCTCAACCTAGAAAGTTGTTCCCTCAGTTCTCGCTCAGACCTCACCAAATTACGCATCACAACCACAAGACTGCACTCCCAGGACTACACATCACGTAGCAAAAACCTCTATTATTAATTGTACCAATTCCTCACCCAATCACAAAGCGACCAAAATACAACTTCAGCATTATTCTCATATACTGCTGGTGATTTTTTGATGCTGGTGACTCATTTTAAGCCCTGGGCCTGTTTACAGAATCACAGAATCCTAGGGGTCAGAAGGGAGCTCTGGAGATGACCAAGCCCAACTCCCTTGCTAAAGCAGGTTCCCCACAGTAGGTTGCAAGGATGAAGTAGCAGTTCCCTGGGAATGATTAGGACATGAAATAGCAATTTTTTGCCAACAGAATTTCAGCAGAGGAATGCAGTGAGCTCTTTCCTCTCCAAAACCATCTCCTTAACATGAAACAAAACGCTCCCAATGTTACGTGAGAACAGTTGGAGTGGTCTCTGTCGACTTAAAGGCAGATTGTTCCTGTTATTCTAAAACTGTTAATGCTGGAGACCATGCCTCAACACTTCTCTTACTCTTCAGAGTTACCACATATATGGCAACACCGTGTGAGCCTGAGTCACTTCTCCCCGCTTCCCCAGAAAGTGATTTACTACCTAGATCACTAGAGGAGGGGTCGTGGTGCCACGACAGCAACCACCTCCATTCAAACTTTAAATCCAAACTGTGGCTCCTTGAGCCGGGCCCGCGGTGCCATTAGGGAGGAGAATAAAGGAACACAAGCAGCAAACCGTCCACTCACGGTGGATCCAGGGAAAACTTCAGACAGCATTCAACCACGCCAGCTTCATCCCCACTGCCTGCCGAGACCCTGGGTGGGACGGGGTGGACGCTGACGGGGGAAACGGGCGCAGAGAGAAGGGAGAAGGACGGGCCGGGGGAGGCACAGCCGCAGTGAGCGAGGGGCGACAGGGGGGAGGGACCCCGGGAGGGCGGCGGGGCATCGCTCTGCCCACAGCCCAGCACAGCCCGGCGGGAAGGGGCCGAAGGCAGGGGGCTCGTCCGCAGGAGGGGCGGGAGGAAAGACGCGGCCAGGCTAAGCGGGAGGAGAAAGGAGGGCGGTGCTCACAGCGGATGGTGTGGAAGAAGGCCTTGGGCCGCCGCTCGAAGCTCTCGCCCAGCTGCAGCGGGTGGTCCTCCTTGTCCAGCGGGTTCGCCGAGCCGTTCATGGCCCCGCACCCGCCCGTCCCGTCCCGGCCGGTCCCTTCCTTTCCTCCGCCCGCCGTGTGCGCTGCCGCCCCGCGCCCTTCCGGGCGCCGAGTGCAGCCGGGAAAGCGCTCCGGGGCCGGCGGCGGCGGCGGGTGCGGAGCGAGAGGCGCGGGGCCGAGCGGGGCTGCGGGCCCCGGGGAAGGGGAGAGGGGGGAGAGGGGCCGGGGGAGGGTCCGCCCCGCTCTCCGCCCTCGGGAGGGCAGGGCAGAGCGGGGCGCGGGGTAACGCGCCTCAGGAGCCGCCGCCAGCCTGGGCCGCGCCGGGCAGCGCTGTGAGGGTGAGGGCTGAGCGCGCGCGAGGCTGCTGGAGCGAGGCTGGGCGTGTGAGTGCTGTGAGGCTGGACAGGGTTCTGACAGCTCTTTGTTTCCTTTGCCAGTGTTTGTAGTTCGTGCTTGTGTTTGTGTGGTTCTGTTCGTATTACAGATGATAAAATGTCTAAATGAAGCGTTCTTTTTTTTTTTATTTTCTATTTTTTGCTTTAAGTTAGGCAGCGCTGCTTGTTCTCACTTCCATTTTGGAACATGGATGCTCGTTCCTGCCTGGGGTTGCTTGCATTCATATCTGACACACTTGTGTTGCTTGCACTTCCCTGGATTTAATCCAGTGTGCCGACCTGGGTCTGGATGTTTGCTTAGAACTAGCTTAACTTTTTGGGGATTTTTGAGTGGTGCTGTGTGGAGCCAGGAGTTGGACTCAGTGATCTTTATGAGTCCCCTCCAACTCGGGATATTCTGTGATCAGGGGTAGGGTCTGGATCCCTCCTCAGCCTACACAGGGCCCTGTTCATTGCTCCATTTTTCTTAAATCCTGGGGGGAAAACAAAACAATACAAAAAACAAACTGTGATGGTTAAAGGGGTTATGATTACTTGGGAAGAAGCAGGGAAGGAGTGCTGACACAGGCTGGCTGCAGGCATCACCATACTGGTTTTGCTCTGTTGCCCAAGTGACCTGGTGCTATAAATGCTGATGTTTCTCTCACTGAGGTGAGAAGAGGAAAGAGAAATGCTAACACAAGCACAGATTGTTTTACCTCTTGAGTGAGACTGTCACCTGTTTATCACTACATTTGTCTTAGGTGTTGCTAACTGGAGTTCACAAGAACCAAAGCTTTCCTTTTAAGTCAGTTTTAGTGCAAGAAATTTATAGCTGTGCCATCTTTCTCCTGGAAGGTGGGTTTCTACAATACAAAAAGAAGACCTGTAGATTCTTTTAAGTATCATCTTTAATTTTTACATCAGTGGGATTTCATACTCAGTGTTAGCTTGCATGGAAGAGTTCTGAAATTAAGAGAAGTCAGATGGCTTTGCACTTTGTCAGGTACGATAGATTACCATAAAGCCCTAATCAGTATGTATTGTGACTTTTCCTTTTTTTTTTTTTTTTTTTTTTTCCAGTTTCTTTTAGGTATCTAGGAATTTTACCTAAGTTAAGAAATGTACATTGAAGAAAAGAAAATCACTCTCGGGTCTTCAGTGTTCATATCTGTGTGAAAGATTCTAGGATGTTCCATGAAAACACATCAGCAGATTGCTTAACTTCAGTAACAACTTCTACTGAAGATGGTGCTTTCCAAACAAAAGGCCATAATATGAGACTCCTTAGCCCAGAAGAAGCAGAGAGACTGGCAAAAGATCGAGTTTTGGTGTCTGACTTCAAACAGCTGAAATTGGAAAAAGAGGCACAGAAGAACTGGGATCTTTTTTACAAGAGAAACAGCACCAACTTCTTCAAAGACAGACACTGGACAACCAGAGAGTTTCAAGAATTAAAAGCATGTCGGGAGGTGAGCTCTATGCACTTGCTCTGTAACAGATGGGATTGATTGTTTTCAAATGATTTAATAGTACTTCTAATTAAACCATGAATTTGGGAGCTCTAACATGTTACGTGTGCAGTGCTCTGTGCAGTCCCTCAGTATCAAAGATGCCACCTCAGAAACAGGTGCATCAGAGCAATTTAAAATTGGATACTGAGAATGAAATCTAGAAACATTTTTTCTGTGTCCTAAATAAACTATGATGTTTAAAGTTGGAGCATTTCAAAACACAGCTTTAAGGAAAAGCACCCAGAATTACAGGCTAATTGCAGAACATCGATGAGAGGAATAGTTATTTGCATCTGTTGTTCCTTATATCTGAATGAGACAAGAAAGAAATGGTACAACAATCTGTTTAGACATCTACTCCTCAAGTAATTAAGAAATATTAATGCATTCTAAAAAGATGTGTACTTTGACAAAAAAAAAAAAAAAGATTCTTCTTCTGTAGTGTCAAAGTTATCCAATGGATAGCTACTTTAATTTCTGAATCAATGGTAAATTAAACTTGATTATTGCTTTTAATATACTGATTGAACAATGTTTCTGCTGATATCACCAGGAAAATAAAAATGATGTGCTTTTTCTTGGCTTTCTTCCACCCCAGTTTGCAGACCAGAAACTGACCATTTTGGAAGCGGGCTGTGGGGTTGGAAACTGCTTATTTCCACTCTTAGAAGATCTGAATATTTTTGCATATGCCTGTGATTTCTCTCCTAGAGCTGTTGAATATGTGAAGGTTGGTGTGATATTTGGAACTTCTTTTAGAGTATTCTTAGAAACTTATACAATTACAAGTGATGGGCTTCCCTTGCCTGTCTATATGAAGAGTAGAACAGAATTGTTTGACCTACATTTTTCCATGTTGACGTGTAGTATTACGGTCATATATATGGATGAATGTGTTGAAGACTCTGTTTCTTGGGAGCGGTATTATGTTTCTGGCTATGAGACACCAGCAAAATTTCTCAGGGATGGAAGCTTCCCCTGCTTTTTGTTTTTTACTTTTTTGATATAGTGCTGCTAATTTTCAGTGAAAGCATGCTCTTTTTGTTCCCGCAGAAAAATTCCCTGTATAGTACTGAAAGATGCAAAGTGTTCCAGTGCGATCTTACCAAAGATGATCTTCTGGAAAATATACCAGCAGATTCTGTGGATGTCGTCACCCTTATATTTGTGCTTTCTGCCATTCATCCTGACAAAATGTATCTTGTCTTGAAGAACATTTACAAGGTAATTCTTTAACACTTTATTTTACAGTCTTTAAAGCACTCGTATTCTCCTTAGCTTGAAAGTACAATTTTACTCTGAATCCTGGTCTAGTGTAAGTTATGAACACAACAAAATGGTGTCTTGCAGCTGTGAGTTTGGCTTTGACATTGTCTGATACAAATGATGTTCATGGGTTGCTGAAATGTTTGGTGATGAGGTATAGATTATAGCAAACTGTAGCTGACTTCCAGAATATGGAAAAACTTGCAGTTAGGATGTTATGGTTGTATGTTATTATTGTTGTTATTATTGTATGTATTGTTATTACTAAACCTGCTTGACCTGTGATGATTTAGAAATGGAGAGCTTGGAGATTAACATTAATGTAGAGAAACTCAGCACCCTGGGCTGCTTGTGTTGGCTGATAGGTAAACATAGACCCATCCAGAGGGCAGTTCTAAAAGGTCACAATTCAAATGGTTTTATGTTCCTAAGGTGATCTCAAGTCATACATTGGCTGGAGTTTCATAGTCAACATGTGCTTTTTTTTTTTATATAAGTGTAGGTCTGCCTTTGTGCTCTTATATTAGCAGATATCCTGCTCATTTTGTTATCAGTTAGAAAAAGGAATGTTTGATATTTTTTTTAAAATTATTTTTATTTTTTAATGTACCTCCTGCTATTTTCTAAAGTTGAGATTGGTTCGTAGCTCGTGCACCTGAAAGGCTAATTACTGTTTTCTGTGTGGAACTGGCTGGCTCATTGAACTCACTTGTAGGTTTCTGTATGAATTTGCAAGTTGCAAATATTCACTTTCTCCTCCAACAAATACAGCTGGTATTGCTGAGGTACAAAGGTTGCATGTATCAAATATCACAAGTCAGAAAGGGTAGTGAATATACGTTTCTAAACTATTGCTTGATTCTCTTATCAAAGAGCAATTTAAACAAAAAAATGAACACCTAACCTGCAACCCATTTTCCTAAAATTGTTCTTTTTTTTTTTTTTTCTTTTTCTTATATTGCACTTTTTTTCCTTCTTGCATTAAAAACGTTGTGGATTTCTATATTTTATTTAGCAGAATTGTGTGCTAGATGGTACCTAGCCAGCAAACGAAGTGCCACGTTAGGACTTCATTTTTATTGTTACAGTGTATACATTTTTCTTTCCACTGTGTTTGAAGAGTGTTGCAGAAAGCTTATTTAATTGTTCAGCATCCAAACAGATATCTGAAGGCAATTCATATTGTAGTGTTCATGGGAAGGAATTCTTTTAAAAGCTAGCAATCCGGTTTGTATACAACGCTTTTGTTGCATGAGGAATGAATTCAAAATATATACAGCTTGTGTTAGGATGGAATGTGTTAGGATATGTCTTAATAACGTGTGTATAAGCATGTATACACAAATCCATCTACCTTATTAAAGCATGTATGTTTTACATGACAGGTATTAAAACCAGGCAAGTGTGTCTTGTTCAGAGACTATGGACTGTATGATCATGCGATGCTCAGGTTTAAATCTGGCAGCAAACTTGGAGAAAACTTCTATGTTAGGCAAGATGGGACAAGATCATATTTTTTCACTACAGGTAAGATGCTTTCTTTTCTGTGATCTTCAACTCAAGTTTGATTCAGAGAATTGGTAACATGCCCACAGGAGTTTTGTTTTTGCACAGGTGACTGTCAAACGGTCGTGTACTTCGTTTGTCTTCTCTTTTTGTTACTATTTATGGGAGGCTGTTTATTGGATCGACAGGACTTTATGGAGCTGCTACTTGTTTACAAGCTTTGTGTATTTTCTATCGTGTAACAGGAGCAGAAGTTTCTAAATTTGTAGATTTCAATCAGATTTGTTGTATAAAGGAAAAAGAACAAAGTTCAGTAAAAGTTCAATAAAAATATTTGTGACACAGTTTTGTTGAGGTTATTCGTGAGGTTATTCTTGGTGTGGAAGATGAAGTGTGCCAGTGAAGTGCACAATTTGTAAATGAAGCAAAATAGGGTTTCCATTTGATACAGCATTTTAACAGCTTTTCATTCAGTGCTCTGAATGCTTTATGAAGGATGGTAATTACTGCAGGTTATTGGCTGCTAAATGGAAGCACATAGACATGAAGGAATTTGTGAAGGCTCTCAATATGAACTCAATATGGGTTTATAGCTCATCTCTTAACTCCCAGTTCTTCATACTAAACTTTAGTGGACTGTTACTTCTCCCTGTCAAATGTAATTGTCAAATTGTGAAATGAAAGCTCTGTGTTTATTTCTGTGGGCTCTTTTTTCCTAGTCTGAAGCAAAATATAGCCACTGAAAAAGCCAATTTGAAGCCAAGTAAAAGTTCAAATTTTATGACTTAATGTATTGCTTAATTGCTTCTGATAAATAAAGAACATTAATCGTGTCTGAGATTTTTCTATTTTTCACAGGACTATGATGAAATCCTAGATAATGCAGGCTATTCTACAGCTTCATTAAAGCACTTCCAGAGCTATTATTTACTGAGTGATTTTTAGTTCCACTTTAACAAATTAGCTCTAAAAAAGAGAATGGATGCTAAAGGGACCAAATAACAAACTGGCCTATCTATGTGAATTTAAATCCCATTCTTACTGTGTGTTAGAATTGTTTCTGAATGAGAAATTCTGTTCTAGTGTGAAGGTGTGCTTTGGAGGAAAAATTGGGATAGGGAGAGTGAAGAAAAAGGAAGGAAAAAAGTGAACTGGTCTACATTGGTTGTGTGAGCTGTTGTTGTGCCTTGGGAATATCTGTGGCTGTCTCACGGATCGCCTCTGCTCCCGCTTCTTATTCATTCTGATCGCATTTATCTTACTAATTTTCATGTAAATATTGGTTAATGCTTGAGAATTCCTGTGTTACTAGAAATGTGACTCCATCATTCTTGTACAGTTGGCAACCAGTCCTATTTTTTTAATTTAGCAGAGGCACTATTCTGCTACATCAAGTCATTACTATGTAGAATGATTTGAACAATGCCTGTTTGTAGTGTATCTGACCTCAGATAACAACACTGATGCTCCATGGCAATGAATCCATTCTTCTACTCTTAGAAATAATCTTAAATTTGGGGAGGAGTAAATGTTTCTAATTCTGACTCTGTTCAATTTACTCATATGAAGTTTCAGTTGATGCACAAGTAAGTGCTATTTATTAGTATTTCATCAATGTGGATTCTCCATTTTAAATGAACACATACTGTTTATGGCCAGTCCGTGTGGTTTCCTGTTGGGCTTATGATGACATAAGCCTGCCTTCCTGCTGAAATTCGTGGTCTCTTTTGCCCTTTTCAATGTATCACCTGTTCTACCTCTTCTAGTTCTGGTGCTCCTAAGCCACATGATCAGTTCTTTTGGCAAGCCCATCACCTACTGAAAAAGAGTGTGTGCCTTTGTTTTCTACCAAGTAGCAAAAGTTTAGTATGGCTTAAATTTCCAGAGGAATCACACCTGAAGTAAATGAAGCAAGGGGTGGGAAAAGAAGGATATTGAGTTGTAGATAATATGACAGGTCAGTAGTGTGGGCAGCCCTCTCTGTTGCATAGATGACCTTGTCTGTGAGGCACTTCTGCCATCCCAAAGGGAGATAAGCTTTGAATTGTGGTCTTTTGTGTTTGAGAAATGTTGTCAGTTTGACTTAATGCAGACTTGGTACCACTACAACCACTTCACTGTTTTTTTCCTTTTTCTACTGAGCAGTGGTTTGTGAAGGTCAAGTAACTTAGGTTTCTTCTTAAGCAGAGATGCATTTTCAAGTCTGGATCACTTCCGAAATATTTGAAATAAGTGTTGTGTTCACCTGACGAAGCCAGCTGTGCAACTCAAAAATGCATTGGTGTCAATCACAGGGAGAATGAGAAAGCTCAATAAAAATAAGAAATGTGGCATGTTTTGGAAACTAAACAGTAACTAGCTTAAGTCTCAGTTTTCAGGCTGTTTTGCTTAAGTTGATGTTTCCAAAGGTGTCCTGTATTGATTTTATTCAGAAGTGCAGCAGTCAGCTTGCACAGAACAGCTTGAAATCTAAATGCATGTGTGGTTTTTCATACTCTAACACATTAGAATGTAAGCTTATAAAAACACTGGCTAGTGCTTTAAAAATAGCAGAAACATAATTTTTTGTCTAATTTTTTTTTTTTTTTTCACTTCTAGAGTTCTTGTCTCAGCTCTTCAGGTCAGAGGGATATGAGGAAGTGGTCAACGAATACATGCACCGAGAAACTGTGAATAGGAAAGAAGACTTGCGTGTTCCAAGAGTTTTTCTTCAAAGCAAATTTCAAAAGCCTTTCAGTAAGACATAAGTTCTTTCTGATTAGCAATAGCATCAATGATAGCACCTAGTTTTTCCTTGTGGGTGTTCGTCTGCTTCATACTCCATAAATGGCTGCATCCTCTTGGTTTTCATCCTCAGATATGAAATATGAATGTTAATTCTAATTAAAACTTTAAGATGGTTTTGCAAAGCAGGAAAGTTGATGAGTACCTGTATTCCTGTTTTTAAAGTAAATCCTCTGCAGCACTGTCAGGTGAAAGAGATTTTAAAATGTTTAAGTTCTAATTTTTCTTATTAACTGGCACAATCACTATTTTCATTTTTATTAAAAACTATTTTTAAATAAGCATTCTTTTTCTATCACTTGTGTTTGTGATTGACATCTTAATGTTACAGTATTTCATCTTTCCATTTCTTCTATGAAGAAAGGTTGAGGGAACTGGAATTGTTTAGCTTGGAGAAGAGAAGGCTCGGGGGGGACCTCATTGTGGCCTTCCAGTACTTGAAGAGAGAGTATAAACGGGGGGGGAACGGCTGTTTACAAGGGTTGATAGTGATAGGACAAGGGGAAATGGTTTTAAACTGAGATGGGAGGTTTAGGTTAGATATTAGGAAGAAGTTTTTCACGCAGAGGGTGGTGACACATTGGAACAGGTTGCCCAAGGAGGCTGTGGATGCCCCATCCCTAGAGGCATTCAAGGCCAGGCTGGATGTGGCTCTGGGCAGCCTGGTCTAGTGATTGACCACCAGGGCAGTTGAAACTAGATGATCTTTATGGTCCTTTTCAACCCAGGCCATCCGTGATCTTCTTTCGGCATTTATAGGGCTTCTGAGTATGATTTCTCAGGTGCAAGAAATGGAATGAAATGGACTCAGTGAGGGATACTTTTAAGTTGCTTCAGTATTTTAATCTTTTTAATGTGCTGAGCGTTTAGATATTTTATATGAACATATGTAAACATATGTTCGTAATTTTATTTGAAGGAAATCGTTAAAGAAACAATTTGTCTTTATCCCTAATTAATTTCATATGTTCTTCCTTTGCTGAGCCAAAGCAGTCAAGATTTTTCAAGTCAGTTTCCCCTTTGGAATGAAAATTTGTAAGCTAGAAGTACTTTATTTTACATTAAGTATATTCTGCTTCTCCTTTCCTGAGCAGAGGTCTTAACTCTTCTCTGTCACTCTCAGAAAAGTGTTGGTCTTTGCTCTTTCTGTCACTAAAAGGGATGCTGATGTTACACCTCAGCCTGTCAGAGTCCTGACTGCTTGAAGGGAATTTTTCTTTTTGCTTTGATGGCCCTGGCTCCTTGTAACGCAGAGCCACTTGTTCTTGGATGATATCTGAAAAACATGTCTGCATCTTTAATCTGCATTTTGACCAGCTGCTCTGCATCAGGGAAAGTATCTGGTGACTTGTGCAATTGGCAGCAGCGGTAATGTAACGCACACAAGTTGCAAGAAGGGAAATTTCGGAGAAATACTATCTTTTTGGGTGTGGTTTTTTTTTTTTGTGGAAGGAGTGGGGAAAATGTGTGCAGGCAGATGTTGGGACAGGGCCAGAGGGGCGTGGAACCTCCTTACTTGGAAATACACGGAAGTTGACTGGGCAAGGCCTTGAGCAACCTGCTTGAGAGTGGCTCTAAGTGGGGATTTGATCTCTTGTGGCATAAATTACTCAGGTTGTTGCTCCACTCAACTCGTGTGTTATTAGATGACACATGCATCTGATACAGATCAAAGGTGTTTGCTTATCTTTGACAACTATCTGCAATGCGTGATACTGAATTTTTTTCACACTGACACTGACTCTGTGGGCATGGAGCCCACAAGTGATATCTTTTTCAGTGTGAGGCCTGTTACTGTTACAGAGTTAATCAGTCAGATTTTTGAACAAATGTGAGCTGTCAGAGGTCTTATACAATTTGAGAGGGTTGTAAATAAATTTTCAGGAGATCATTGCTTTGTTTCAGGGCTTTACAGCTTTCTTCTGTTTGTTTTGTTGTTTTTTTTTGTTTGTTTTTTTGTTATCTGCTACCGTAAGCCCCAAAGCTGGATTTATTGTACAATCAAACTTGGGCCTCAGTGGAAAAAGAGATTAAACAACACAATTCTTACGACCCTTTGAGGATGGTTATTATATGATATCTCCTTATTTTATAGGGAGTATCATCCTGGGATTTATGTATTACTGATTCCCTGCTGTGCAATCCATTAGCACTTTCTGCTATACGAGCAATAAATGTCTAGTAACATTTACAATAAATGGAATAATACATTAGAAGGGGATATAACAGTGATAGCATTATTATAATCTAAGCAATCATCATTTTGTAGCTTCCCTCAGCAAATGTTAATCTTTACTACAGCAGCTTTGCTATGATTGGATGTAGCTCTGTTGGCTTTAGAGCAGTTTGGACCCTGCAACTCCAGGTGTCCTACAGGGCTGGTGCTTGGTCCTTTCAGAGAGATGACACATAAATGAGGCAGAAGGATTGCCCTATCATGGTTTCTTGTTACTTCAGCATCCCTGAAAAGGAACTGAAAAATAGGCAAGTATTTAAAAAAATATTAGAAGTTTTCAAGTTTGAGTCAACTCAACAGACTTTAGCTGCAGATAGCAATTAACTTCCTTTTTCACTATGAACTAACTAAGCATTTCCTGAACAGTAGTGCACCATTTAGTGGCTGTAGCTTCAGTACTTTAGTACAATTCTTCTGAGGGAACTGTTGCCACTTTTTGTATAGGACACATTCAAATGAAAGTAGTAGTAGTCTTTTTTTGTTCTCATTTAGTCTCAATTCCAGTCAGACCTTGAAAATGAAATAGCTTTCATTACTCTACCATGCTACCCTGCTAGAAAGGCTTTCAACCATAGTGGTCATAACACAGAGGTGGTTTTGAGATGACTGGTCTCTATACTTCTGCTTCAATGCACTCCAAATCATTGCAAGCATTTTTAACTGTGGTAAAGTTTGAGGAAGTCGAGGGAGCTTTAAGAAGTCATCACATGAGATGTGATAACTAATGGGGATGCATGTGTCTGCTGTTGTGCTGAAAAAAGTGCTGACCCCTTCAAACCCATGCAAGCTCACCAGAGACAGTCAAGAAGGACAGATGTACCTGGAATAGTCTCAAAAGGACTTGACAAAAAAAAATTACGTGCACCGAGTTGTGCTCAGCTTGCACAAACAAGCTACTATGCCATTGCTGTAATTAATATATTGATCATTCTGTGATTGAAGTTGTCTTCAGTCAGTGAGGGCTGCTGAGACTGATTTAATTGCTTGTAGAAAACCTTCTTTTCATTTCCCTTAAGCTGAGCTAGCTGCTTTATCTGGCAGGTGTAAATAATGTGGACTCTGGTTGAAGATTTTCCTGCAGTTATGGAATCCTAAACATCACTCTCCTCTGTGGGATTCTCCAGTGTGCTCTACTAGAACCACATATGTTAAGAGAATCTATTAGAACAAAGGCAGATGGTGACCATTTACTGTGGGGAGGCACACAGATATGTTGCAAAGATAGAAGCTATTAGCCAGGTAAGATGATTCATTAGAGAACTCTTTTCTATTCCTACTTCCCACCATTCATTGTGTTTGCACTGAGGAGAAAACGCTACTGCTGTGAAACCGAGGAACGTAAGGGCATGAGGAAAGTGCATGTGATTTTTTGAAAAGACTCTTGATCTTGTGTGCCTCTACATAAATGATCCTAGTTTAGGAACATCTACCCTTCTGTAAGTCATAAGTCTTTTCTTAAGAAAATTTGATTTGATTTTGAAGGTCTTTGCCAAAGATACAGGTATAGCCAAATATGTTGAAAGATTTAGAAAAGCAGCTGTGTGACTGAGAAAATATATCTAGGTTTATTTTTCTGATTTGACTTGTAAGGCGCTTAATACTTCACAGTCACTTCAGTGCTTTTTCAAAGTTCCTGCCATTCTGTGCTGTGTTATCCTTTGTCAAGCTAAGTGTGCCCTATCAACACCAGCTCAATTTTACATCTGTACTACCTAGTGGACTTGCATCTGAAATAATGGAGGGTACTCAAAGGAAAATTCACAGAGCAGACAAGCCTACCTGCTATCTGGGCTCCATTTGGTGTTTTTCTACAATCACCTTCTTTTGACTTCTAACTATCTGTAGTAGATTTGATGCACTACGTGCCAGTGGGATTGTTGTACAGCTGACACTTAAGGATTTTGTTGCTACTTTTAAAATTTTTTTAAATTTTTTTCTAGCTTTACCTTCAGGCTTCTATGTGAAAGGTGGTGTTTAATCGGAATTTCTGTCATCTAACAAAAGCCTTTTAAATAAACCAGATCTGATGCTGTTATGTTAAAACCATGTTATTCAAAGGAAGGAGAAAAGAGAAGTGAGCAGAAGGAAAAGAGAGCTGTTTCCTACGCTAATACAATAGAGCATGATTGTCCAACACTTTGGCTTGCCTGGGCCACACTGGGCGAAGAGGAATTGTCTTGGGTCCTTGTAGCAAAAATGCTAAGGCATGGCTTGGACCTGTGATTGAGCACCTGGTGGGAAGGCAGGGCCAATCCAGAGGAGCTCAGGTGCCAGCAATGCACATGAATGACCAGAACAGGTGGAGCCAGGATCCACCCCTCCCCAGACCTCATTTAAGGGTTGGCAGTGTAGGCAAAAGTATCTTATCTAGAGGTTTCTGCATATCTGAGGCCTTTTAAAGGTAAGCAACATTTGTTTGTTTGTTTGTTTGTTTATTATGAATCCTCACTTAGTGTGGCCTGGGATCTTGCTGCTCTGCTATCACTGTTGTACTTTCCATCATGTTATGCTTGGTGACTGAGGTAGATGTGACAGCAGTGCATGAATTTAGCATGGATTATCTTAAAAGCATAATGTGTTGGTTGGTTTCTGGGATCCCTAGTAGCCTGAAGAGGAAGCTCCTGAGGGAAACTCCAAGATTCCTGGGTTCCCTGTGGCTGCATGCTTCATGGGCTGTTGAAGAATAGGGACTCAATTTTCAATCAATATAAATATATCATCTGCAAATTTTCAAATGGATTGTACAGAGTTGCAGTTAGACATTAGATTCAAAGAAAATTCTAGTCATACTTCTCTGACCAGAGAGAAACTTCCTTCACTTCACAATCTCACCTTCATGGCTGCTGTTAGTGTATCAAAATGCATAAAATCACTTGTTGTAGCTTGAGCTTGCCACAATTTTAAGATTCATTTTGAATGCTTCTATGATTTGAAGCACGGCACAAATGATTCTCATCTTGAAGATGTTGAAAATAACAAAATTTGTGAGCATTGGGCTCAATTCTGGATATTTCTTCCACAGTGAACGTGTTGGCTTATTAAATTGCTTTGTAAAATAACACAAGCCCAAGTTTGATACTTAAATACAAAAACTGCTTCGTAACAAAATACGTTTGTCTTCACAGGCATGCACAGTGTAGGTGGGTTGAAATATTATTGGCAATCACCATGCTACTTGCCAACTGGCACTACACATGTAATGTGCAATACGTGTGGGTTTGGATTTGCTGGGGTGTGTGTGTGTGTGGCGGTGCTGAAAGGCAGAGTCAGCCCTGCAAGAGGCTGCCCTCCCCTTCTCCCCGCTCCCAGCACCATTAGCACAGCTTGTACTCCTTTTTGATAAACTGAAGTTGGAAAAAAAAGACTGCTCTGCAGGCAAAGTCTCATTCTTATCCAAGATGGAGCTGGTGCTGCCATGTGCAACTGTTGCTTGTTGAAGGATTTAATAGATGTGTTGATGTGGCTCAGTACATGAGCATCCAACCTTTGGGTTTGTCCAGGCTGTTCTGAGTGAGGAAGAATTGTCATGGGCTGCATATAAAATATACCATGTAGTTAAAGTATGTAACTAACAAAACTTAAAATATATTTTTTTTATTAAAACATAAAGAGCAACAAAAACAAAACAGTGGGTTATTTGACATTTTTTTTTTTTTTTTAATGCATCAGTCTGGTTTGGTGGCTCTGGCTGCAACTCTCAGTCAGCTCCTAAGATGTCCATCAGAGGTTTTTTTTGATGGCGTTTTACTCTTCCTGTGATTCATCCTTGAAAACAGTCATTTACAAATGTACGTACAGCCAAAAAGCAATGCCATGCATAAGGTGTGATAGCAAAGCGAGGGGTGCATTCCCTTTGGTCAAATGAGGCTTATGAAGGTCTGGTAAAGAGACATGATCAGACAGTTGAGTTGAATGTCTGACTGCAGCTTTACACATTCTGTTTGAAAACTAGTAAGTAATGTATTCATGACAACTGGGCAAGGGATTACGACTCTGGCAAAAAATCGACGATTTTTTTTTCCAGCATTCTTGAAACCTATTCTCAAATTCCTTTTTGAAAACAGCACAGCTGCGTATCTTTCACTATTCACAGGACCGTGTTCAGTCAGCATATCAAAATGCACGCCATTATTTGGTGAAACTTGTGTCAGCACTGTCCTGTGCCCTCCCAGTGCCAGCCCAGGCAGTGTGGATCACACACTGCTGTGTGGTTGCTCTTGAGCCAGGCCAGGCTGCTTGGTGGGCAGAGCCCCATGATGGCACGGGGTGGGGGGCAGCAAACTTAGTAACAAAATAGTTTGAAGAATATACAAAACTTTTACAGCTGTCCTTTTCTGAACTACCTTCAGAAAATTTATTCTGAAACCTGTTCATCCTGGAGAAGGGTAGATGAGGAGGGATCTTACCAGCTCTTACGAATCACAAAATGTGGGAGTCGTGTAGATGGAGCCAGGCTCTTCTTGTTGATGTGTAATGATAGGATAAGGAGCGATGGCCTAAAACTAGAACACAGGAAATTCCATGCAAATATGAGGAAGAACTTCTGTACATGAGGGTAACAGAACACCGAAACAGGCTCCCTGGAGGGGTTGTGGAGTCTCCTTCTCTGGAGGTATTTGAGACCCATGTGAAAGCTTTTCTGTGTGACCCGCTACAGGGAACCTGCTCCAGCAGGGGCATGGACTGGATGATCCCCAGAGGACCCTTCCAAGCCCTATGATTCAATGACCAGCTGGTTTCAGTATCTAAATGCTCAACTGGCATTCAGCAGTCCGGAATGCTTTATTATATCCATTAGGACCTGTCTCGTTTTGTCATCTCTTGTCTGGATGAATATTATATGCTTACTGTAAGATGAATATGCAGGCATATGCAAATTTAATTTTTTTTTTCCCCTGCTCTGCTCAGTCAGATACAGTTTGAGCAAAGGAATGGCATTTGGAATTTTGTTCGCAAGATGGCAGTAGTCACTAACCACCGCGCTACGTTACTTTTAACCCTAGTGCTCAGCTGTTGTCCCGGCATTTAGTGCAGTGTAGGAAGAGCTGGTAATGGTTATACATGGACTAGACAGCCTGAGTCTTTTATGTGGTTAAGTCATCTTTTTCTCTAATTAAATAGCTCCTGGATCTTCAGGAAGGAAAGCAAAAGGTATTTAAAGAAAACATAGTATTTTAGCAATGCTTGTTATTGAGAAAGATTGTTCTTAGAATGTGAGGGAGGCTAAAGTGAAGTACTATCAGCTGATAATAGCAGCTGGGATCCTAATTACCTCTACCTACAAGGCAGTGATTTGTTGCATTGACAATATGCAGGTTGTTCCTGTAGAATCTGATTCCTGCTAAACTGTTGCCGTAGAAACTGCAGGGATTTAAGATAACAGCTTTCAAAGCTTTGAAGTGCAGTGCCTTAATGAGATATTTTATCAACTTCTGAAAGATATTAGACAAATCTCTGTATGAATTGTTCCTGTTTTCTTTCTACAGCCATCAGAACTAAGTGAGATGCAGGGGGCCAGAGAAGTTGTGTCTCTTTCATTATTTACTGTGCTGCACTCAGCTGTAGTGTCACTTGCCATTTTGCAGTTTCTGCTACTGTAGTAATCCCTATTTTGTCTCCAGCAAACCTCACTTAAATGAAATTTTATTCCATGCTTCCTTTTACCTCTTGCTGGCTTTACATCTCACTTTGAACACTGTGTTCAGTGTAATTGTTACTAGGCAGCACAAATAAGCTATGTGTAATGCTGCCTAACCCACATTTTAAGCAACAGTAATTCTTCTGGATATTTAATATCTGAATTATTGTAAACACTAATCATCTGTCACTGCAGAAATGTAATTGGTTTGAAAAAGGAAAAAAAAAAAAAGAGAAGCAGATTTTCTCTGTGCCTGTCTTGCAACATTCATGGGTAGACAGTAATAAGTAATAAGACAAGGGTGAATGGTTTTAAACTAAAAAGGGGAATATTTAGGTTAGATGTCAGGGGATTTTTTTCACTGAGAGGGTGGTGAAGTGGTGGCACAACTGCCCTTAGAAGCTGTGGGCCCCATCCCTGAAGGCTCTCAAGGCTGGGTTGGATGGGGCCCTGGGCAGCCTGATGCAGTGACTGATCTAGTGATTGGCAATCCTGCCCGTATCAGAGTGGCTGGAACTAGGTAATTTTCGAGTTCCCTTCCAACTCAAGCCATTCTATGATTTTATGCATGTTCATGTATATGTACAGACTGGGAGAGCAGCAGAGCAAGAGGTAAAGCCAGCTGAGAGGGTGCTGGTGTAGCTGGGCTGGTCTTAAGGGATTCCTGTTCAGGTTAACTCAGGCTGCTAGAATGTCACAGAGCTGTAGCACTATGGAGCTTCCCTGTTTGGATCAGGCTTGTGTTCAGCCTTGGCATCTCTTTTTGGTAGGCTGTGAAGCAGTACCAGAGAAGGGATGTTGAGTTGGATCTGGACTGCGGCATTCCTGTTGGCAGATTGCTCTTGTCATTGCCTACAGCTTGGAGCAGGCAACCTGCAAGAGTGAAGGATGAAACCTGCTTTCCCCTGTGCTTGCACCATGCTAGCTACTAAGTGCCAACAGCCATAGAGCCCTGCAAGAGTGATACTAAAGCTGTCCTCTGCCCTTTATTTAACAGGTTGTACCATCCTGGCATATACTCGCTGAGGCTGCATCCAAAACAGTTGTGGTCAGCGCTGGTATCCCAGCCTTCATTATGTAGCCCCTTCAGTACTCCCTGGCACCAGGCAGGGCAGTGGAATGGATGACAGTGTGTACCCCTGATGTCCTTTTCTGATAGTGCTTTGCTCAGATCCTAGCATCACAGTCCTGTTCCTAGCATGAAACTGGGAACAAAAGGCAAGTAACTGGAGGCCTACAGAGTGGTTGCTCTCTTCTCTTTTCACAGTAATTGAACGGAAGCATGACTGTTCTGTGTTGTAACTAATCAGTGGTTGCAGCTGCCTCTGAGACTGTGCTGGGGTATTGCACCCTTGAGAAACTGTGGCAAAAG